ACTGTGACAGGAAGAATCAATAAACCACAAGCCATCAGCCGCAAAGGCTGTTGGGACTTGTAGTTCATTCATTCACAGAACTCTGAATGAATGACGTGGCTGTGTGGGAGCATGGCCTACGCTCTTTTCAAAAAGTGACAGCTAGTATGGGGAACGTCTCCCCGTACTGCTGTTACAGGGAGAGAGGACAGTGGATGGCATCTACAGCAGTGGGAACATGTTACATGTTCCACCCTAAAAACAGGTGGAATATGTAACATGTTCCCAAAGATTAACTTATCGTTAAGAAAACAGAAAAAATTCACTTAACTTGAGTTCTTTTAAACTAGAAATTTTAGCCATTATGTGGGCTAATTTTTGCTGAATATTTGACAGGGGCAAAGGTTAACATTTAAATCAAAAACAATGCTTTGGCATATTTTCAGACAGCTAAGGTAGGAGCTTTGGAGCATAGATGGGCAGCTTGACAGCTATGACTGACCAACTTAAATACTGCCCTGAACAAAACAATGCCAATGTAAGTTTACTGTCTTGAATTCCAAAAAAGTGATGCTTATCAATTTAATTTCTTGAAATTTGCAGTAGTTGGTCCTACTTAGAACAGTCATCTAAGTGTGATGGAGCTGAAGTCTTCAGCCTAGCCTGTAATAAGGGGTGTGCGCAGCTTGCTCAAGGCTTGTTGGCTGACAGTTGGTCAAGAAGAGAGGTTCATGGTGAGGCCTTGGACATGGCTCCCCGTATGCGGCTCAAAACAACAATAATTGATGGGGCATCGTTGACATTTAACATTAGGTATTGGGCATAATTATCAGTGGCAAGCTGCTTTCTGTTCACACCTACTCTGGCTGTCATGGATGTGAATATGGAAACCACAGTTTAAAGAAATCTCAACTAAAAAGAGTTCAGTTAATGTTATTGTCTATTCAAATATATTATTGTAGAATTTGAGTTGCCATTGAAGATACATCCTATTTCCCGATGGAATGTACAGGGCTCTTACCAATGGCTCCTGCTGCTGCTTGAGTCATGTGTGCAGATGAAGAGAGGGGAGAAGAGATGCAGCCGTGCACAGTGCTGGATCTCTTTTCCTCTCTCTACACCCTCACACAGGGAAGGTGGAGGACAGAAAGCAGTAAAAAGTTTTTTTTTTTACCTTAATGCAAGGAATGCATTACGGTAAAAAAGCTTTTTGGATTTAGAACCACTTTAAGCAAGTATTTTTATTTGCACATCAGATTTTTGTTTTTTCTTTAACAGCCTTAAAAAGGGACTATGGGCAAAATAAAAAAATGGCATACATGATGCAGTCTGTCACTAGCATTAGCACAGTGATATTCTTCTGTTAGTGCACTGTCAAAGAAATAACCAAGATGGACCCAAAAGGTGGTCTGCAGGATAAATGGAAAGATCATATATAATTTACTAGTGCTAATAAAATAAGGTTATCTTTTACTAAAAATAACAGCCATCTCAGAGAAGGTCATATGTCTGAAATGGAACGCAAACGAACATAAGCGTGAAATAACACATCCTGGGAGATGCTGTGTTCAAAGGTTATATTGCTTGGCTGTTAGAACAATACTATATTATTTATTGTTTTTCAAGATTGTGTACATCATCATGTTCTCCGGTGGGTTACAGGGTGCATAGGCGTTTTCACATAAGTCATTGGAACTTACAATCTAACATCCATACCACAGTCACACAAAATTGGTTAGAAACTAACTGCCATACAAGTACATTTTGTGATAGGAAAACATAGGAGGCCACTGCTCTGCCTTTTGTGAATGACACTATTTAAGCCAATGCTCTACCCTATGTGAATATAACTATCTAAGCCAATGTTCTACCAAACGTGAATATGTTGGAACTGACGAAGCCATTGCTCCACTCTATGTGAATATAACCAATTAAAGGTGGCCATACATGGGTCAGTTTTTATTTTTATTCAACCAGTGGGTTGAATGAAAGAAAAAACTGACCCAACTCCCACATCCACACATTCGATGTGGATACAGAAATCCTCCCTGCTGTGTCTTTGTATTCTGACAGCGGGGAGACTCTCCCACATCATATCTAGATCAGCGTTGCAGCCTATTGCCTGCGGTACTGATTGGGTGAGAATATGCTGACAGGGTGGCTGAACAGAAGCCGATTGATAAATGAACTTCTGTTCAACCACAGTGACCACACATGGATCAACCGGTCTCTGCTGAACTGGCCAAATTTCAATCAATATATGGCCAGGTCTTGTCACTTCTCTTTTTTTTTTCTTCATCAATTCACCACCATACAATTATTAACCATTAGCCGCCCGGCCAATGGCCGTTTGGCGGCTTCAGAAGTGTCTCTCCACTCCGGGTGCACGCCATTTGGCGTGCTCCCGCACATGCGCCGTTTGCGCTAATGCAGAGCGGCGCAGCAGTGCGATCTGTCACCAGCCGTGCACCTCGGACACGGCCGATGACAGATCCGAGTACCGACTCCCGTTGCTGGTACCATGTGACCTGCTGTGACCAATCACAGCAGGTCACATGACAGTTGTATACAATGGATGGCTTCATTCATGATGCCATCCATTGTATACTAGTGCCTAGCTGTGAATAGTCACAGCTAATCACATGCACATGTCATGTGATTAGCTGTGACCAAATCACAGCTAAGCAAAAAAAAAAAAAAAAAAAAAAAAAAAAAGCTGAATGAATCGATTTCATTCAGGTAAATGCTTGCTTATAGCAAAGTAATTCTTTGCTATAAGCAAATTGTGTAAAAAAAAAAATACTGATCACTTCCCCAAAGTAGTACAATGTTACTATGGTAACATTGTACTACTTTGGTCATAGTAAAATATGAAAAAAAATCTTAAAAAAAATAAAAAAATGTAATAAAAAATTAAATATAATAAAAAAATTTAAAAAAATTAAAAAATATATATATTTTTTTTTTTTCATACTGTCACCAGTCAGTGTCCCTGTTCACCCTCATGCCAGTTATATGATGACGCTGTACTGCACTGGTGACAGTATGTAAAAAAAAAAATAGTGAAAATAATTTTTTTAATTTTTTCATTTTCCGAAAAATTATGACAAAAAAATACAACTTCAAAAAACTCGCCATGCCTCTTATGAAGTACGTCGGACTGTCTACTCTGCAAAAAGGGGTCATTTGGGGGATATCTGTACTATTCGGACATTCTTGGACCTCAAGAAATTAGATTGGCTGTCAGTACTTCAGGATTGATCAATATTCAGATCTATACCATAGTTTGTGAACTCTATAACTTTCCTACAAACTAAAAAATACATCCTAATTTGGGTTATTTTCACCAAAGACATGTAGCAGAATACATCTCGGCCTAAATTTATGAAGAACAATTATTTATTTGTAAGCTTTTATAACAGAAACAAAGAAAAATGTGGTTTTTTTTTCAAAATTTTTGGTCTTTTTTTGTTAATTTAGCAAAAAATAAAAACCCCAGCGGTGATTAAATACCACCAAAAGAAAGCTCTAGTTGTGTGAAGAAAATGATAAAATTTTATTTTGGGTACAGTGTTGTATGACCGCACAATTGTCATTCAAAGTGTGAGAGCGCTGAAACCTGAAAAATGGCCTTGGAGGGAAGGTGTAAAATTGCACGGTATTGAAACGGTTAAATATACCAACAAAAGTGTAGCGCAACAAATTTAAATGCAAAAATGCAAAATATAATCAACTCATCCCAGTAGTACCATATACAATGCATTCCCCTAGTGAATAATAATGATCAGTCTCTGTGTTAGAAACAATACATGTCTTCTAAATAGTGTTGTGATTCAGCCTTCCAATGGTGAACGTCTTGCTCCACACACACATGAATAGTTCTCTGTCGCAGGACATCGCCACCTGTATCCACTGACTCTTACCTCCACACCTTGACCCACCTATCGGTGAAAGTCAGAAAGAGCCTTCCAAGATTATTGGGTAATAGAAATTATGACAGATCCTCACTGCATCCTCTATTCATCTCCTTATGTCAGAGCTCTTCCACTCAGTGGTATGAAAAAGGAATAGGAAATCTCATAGTGTAAGATGTAACTATTCAGTTTTATTAAAAGATTAAAATGTTACTCATAAAAGTGCACTCTCAAGTCTAGTGCACTAGATTCAATCATTCAAATAGCGGCTATAATTTTAAGTCTGGACATCCAGGGCGAGATATGAAAAGTTGGCGACTCTGAGCTCTCCGGGCATGGCGTGCAATCGATATGTTCATACATCACCATAGTTGTCCATACTTTTACATATATACCGGTACATCTTCATGGTAATATCCTAAATAAATAATTCAAAACTAATATTAAATAGAATTCTAATTAATTAAATAAAATACCATTTTAGAATAAATACTTATGTATCACACATATATACTGTGTATATATATATATATATATATATATATATATACACACACTATATTGCCAGAAATATTGGGCCGCCTGCCTTTATACACACAGGAACTTTAATGGCATCCCAGTCTTAGTCTGTAGGGTTACATTTTGAGTTGGCCCACCCTTTGCAGCTATAACAGCTTCAACTCTTCTGGGAAGGCTGTCCACGAGGTTTAGGAGTGTGTCTATGGGCATGTTTGACCATTCTTCCAGAAGCACATTTGTGAGGTCAGGCACTGATGTCTAACGAGAAGGTCTGGCTCACAGTCTCCGCTCTAATTCATCCCAAAGATGTTCTATCGGGTTGAGGTAGGCACTCTGTGCAGGCCAGTCAAGTTCCTTCACCCCAAACTAGCATCAATGTCTTTATGGACCTTGCTTTGTGCACTGGTGCGCAGTCATGTTGGAACAGGAAGGGGCCATCCCCAAACTGTTCCCACAAAGGTGGGAGCATTAAATTGTCCAAAATGTCTTGGTATGTTGATGCCTTAAGAGTTCCCTTCACTGGAACTAAGGGGCCAAGCCCAACCCCTGAAAAACAACCCCACACCATTATCCCCCCTCCACCAAACTTTGCACTTGGCACAATGCAGTCAGGCAAGCACCGTTCTGGCAACCGCCAAACCCAGACATGTCCATCAAATTGCCAGAGAAGCATGATTGGTCACTCCAGAGAACACATCTCCACTGCTCTAGAGTTCATTGGCGTAGTGCTTTACGCCACTGCATCCGACGCTTTGCTTTGTACTTGGTGATGTAAGGATTGGATGCAGCTGCTCGGCCATGGAAACCCATTCCACGAAGCTCTCTACATACTGTTGTGCTAATTTGAAGGCCACACTACGTTTGGAGGTCTTTAGCTATTGACTCTGTAGACAGTTGGCAACTTCTGCGCACTGTGTGCTTCAGTATGCGCTGACCCCCCTCTGTCATTTCAAGTAGTCTACCACTTAGTGGCTGAGTTGCTGTTGTTCCCAGTTGCTTCCCCTTTGTTATAATACCACTAACAGTTGACAGTGGAATATTTAGTAGCACAGTACCATTTTTAAATTCACTGAGCTCCTGAGAGTGACCCATTCTTTCACAAATGTTTGTAGAAGCAGTCTGCATGCCTGGGTGCATGATTTTATACACCTGTGGCCATGGAGGTGGTTGGTGGTGAACACCTGAATCCAATGATTTGGAGGGCTGGCCCAATACATTTGGAAATATAGTGTGTGTGTGTGTATATATATATATATATATATATATATATATATATATAAAATTTGTATAAAACTATATGATAAAAATATATGTATGTCCCCTAATGGACATAACTACCATCAATCTATATGCCAACACTTTGCCTAACCTCTTCATAAATAATATAATGCAGCCTTTCTCAACCAGGTTGCCCAGGCGTCCTGGGGTGCTTTGAGGTTTCTTCAGGGGTGCCTTGGCAAAATGTCTAAAAACTGCCCAAAATCTGTATACAAGCTAGCGGGTGGAAAAAGCCTGCCTTTTAGTTACACAAAGCCACAGGTTTTCATTGTGCACCATTACAACCTTCTAGCTGCCGGATTCCTGACAACCAATGACATCATCAGTTGATAAGGAGGATGTCAGCTGCCTGCACAGCATCCTAGTTTTACCCTCCCCTGCCCCTTCCCATCAGTGCTGGGGTCACATTAGCTCATTGATGGTGAAAAACTGAGGGAGAAGAGAAACACTGGAATACTACTCAGTACCAGTGTGCAAACGTGCATTTGCTTTGGAAGAATAAATCACCTCTAATGTTGGGTGTCCTACATGTGTGGATGTTGCAATGTTATATAAAACTATTAGATCAGTTTTTCACATTTTAAAATGGGAAGTCCTTTTAAAATTATGGACAGTCTAGAGGCACCCCATTTTAGAATGGGGTGCCTCAAGACTGTCCATAATTTTAAAGGGTGTCTGTCAGGGTCCTGTCTACAGCAGGAGTTCTGGAAGACCTGGCAATTCTGCCAGTACTCTACATGGCCGCAAAAGTACACATCAGCCTCAGTCTGGTGCCAGACAGTCTTTGTAAGGAGGCTCATCACTTCCACTAGTTGCTGGATGATCTCTAGCTCCCCGTGCCCTGTTCCTGGTTCCTGAGATTCTGACTTGTGATTTCCTGTTACCGACTCGGCTTGCTCCTGGACCCGTCTACTCTGATTTACCCCTGATCTGACCTCGGCTTGGCTTACGGATACTCTCTCTCGCTCCTCTGTGAATGACCTCGGCTATTCCATCTGACTACGACTGCTCTGATTCCCACCTGGTACCTGACCTTGGCTTGAACCGACTACCCAGTAAACATCCAAATCCTGGAAGGGCTTGCATACCACGCACAGGCGCCTCCTGTCTGCAGACCTATCGCTGTGCACCAGCTGTGCTTCTGAGTGGACCACCATCCAGCACTCCTACAGGAGACTTGTGCAACTTTGGGCCAGACTCCCGCTGTCCCACTCTCAGGGGAGTCCGGAACATAGCCGCAAGGGAAGCCCTCTCTCCATTGGCCTCCATCAACAGGTATGTGATACTGTCCATAATTTTAAAGGGTGTCTTGACTGAAAAAAGCTTGAGAAACACTGATATAATGCATATAATAACGCATATAGCTCCCCAAAATTACACTTAAAGATCCTTTATAAAGCAATTTAATTCAAAATCCAGGCTCAACCCAGTAGGCGCCTAAGTCTTCATTAAATAGATCCATTTCGCCTATTTCTGATTTAGGTCTCTAATTTTGTTTGACCCCTTCCAATACCCTTTTGTACTTCTCAATCCCCCAGAACCATAAACCTGTAGAATCCCTATTCTGAACATTTGTAAAGTACTTGAACACAAAGAGCTTCTTATAACTTCTACTAGCATTGTATACATGTTCCTGTATTCTTTTTGACATTTTCCTCTTTGTACGTCCAACATATTGCATCCCACATGGACACATAAGGAAATAAACCACTCCCTTTGTATCACACGTGATGCAATCCTTTATAGTATATTCCTTTTTGGTGACTTCCAAAATAAAAGGTTTTCCTCTTCTTGAGATTCCCTATAGTTTGACTACAAACTTGACATCTTCCACACACAAAAAAACTTTTTTGCAAATAGAATGGTCTACTCTGTCTCAGGGGATCCACCACTGAATTGACAACTTTATCTCCCACTGTTGAGGCTTGTTGATAGAAAAATTTTGGTTTTAGCACTTTAGGGATGTTCACAATAGGGAACCTACAGGTTTATGGTTCTCGGAAATTGAGACGTACAAAGGGTACTGGAGGTAGTAAACAAAATTAGAGACCTCAATCAGAAAGAGGCGAAATGGATCTATTTAATGAAAACTTTGGAGCCCACTGGATTGAACCTGGTTTTTGATTTAAATTACTTTATAGAGGATTTTAACTGTAATTTTGGGGAGCTATATGTGTTAGTATTTATGAAAAGGTTAGGCAGTGTTGGCATTTAGAATGATGGTAGTTATGTCCATGAGGGGACATACATATATTTTTATCATATAGTTTTTATACAAATAAATACAAATAATATACATAAGTGTGTGTGTATATATATATATATACATTGCAAGAAAAATATGTGAACCCCTTGGGATTACGTGGAGTTTTGCAAATTGGCATAAAATGTGCTCTGAACGGCATCTAAGTCACAACAATAGAAGAACACAGTCTGCTGAACATAATACTACACAAATATTAGATGTTGCCATGGTTTAATTGCACATAACATGTAAACATTCACAGTGCAGGGAGGAAAAAGTATGTGAAGCCCTAGCTTAATGACTTCTCCCAGAGATAATTGGAGCCAGGATGAGCCAACTTTGACTCCAATCAGTGTGATGATATTGGATGTGTTGCTGACAGCTGTCCTGCCCTTAAAAAAACACACACCTGTTTTGGGTTTACTGGTTTCAAGAAGCACTGTCTGATGTGAACCATGCCTCGCAGAAAAGAGCTATCAGAAGACCTACGATCAAGAATTGTTGACTTGCATGAAGCTGGAAAGGGTTACAAAAGTATCTCCAAAACCTTGATGTTCATGTGTCCAACATAAGACAGACTGTCTACAAATGGAAAAGTTTAGCACTGTTGCTACTCTCCCTAGGCGTGGTCGTCCTGTAAAAATGACTGCAAGAGCACAGCGCAGAATGCTGCATGAGGTAAAGAAGAATCCCAGAGTGTCAGCTAAAGACCTACAGAAATCTCTGGCACATACTAAACATTTTTGTTATCTACAATAAGGAAAACATTAAACAAGAATGGAGTACATGGGAGGACACCACGGAGGAAGCCATTGCTGTCCAAAAAGAATATTGCAGTACGTTTGAAGTATGCAAAAGAGCACCTGGATGTTCCACAGCACTACTGGCAAAATATACTGTGGACAGATGAAACCAAGATTGAGTTGTTTGGGAAGAACACACAACACATGTGTGGAGAAAAAAAAGGTTACCAACATCAAAACCTCATCCCCACTGTAAAACATGGCGGGAGGGAGCATCATGGTTTGGGGCTGCTTTGCTGCCTCAGGGCCTGGATGGATTGTTGTCAATGGGAAAATGAATTCCAGAGTTTTATCAGGACATTTTGCAGGAAAACGTACGACCATCTGTCCGCCAACTGAAGCTCTGCATAGATGGGTGATGCAACAGGACAATGACCCAAAGCATACAAGTAATTCAACAAAACAATGGCTGCAACAGCACAGTATACGCCTTCTGGAGTGGCCCAGTCAGAGTCCTGACCTCACGATTGAAATGCATGGCATGACCTTAAGAGAGCGATTCACACCAGATATCCCAAGAATATTGCTACACTGAAACAGTTTTGTGAAGAGGAGTGGTCCAAAATTACTCCAGATTTTGCAGGTCTGATCTGCAACTACAGGAAACGTTTGGTTGAGGTTATTGCTGCCAAAGGAGGGTAGTTATTAAAGGTTCACATACTTTTTCCTCCCTGCACTGTGAATGTTTACATGTTATGTGCAATTAAACCATGGCAACATCTAATGTTTGTGTAGTATATGTTCAGCAGACTAGTGACTTAGATGACGTTCAAGCACATTTTAGCAAAAACTCCACGTAATCCCAAGGGGTTCACATACTTTTTCTTGCAATATATATGGTATATATTTATTTTAAAATGGTATTTTCTTAAAAGATTAGGATTCTATTCAATATGAGTTTTAAAGTAGTTATTTAGGATATTACCATGAAGATGTGGATATGTAAAAGTATGGACAATCACGTGATGTATGAACATATCGATTGAATATAAAGGTTTTACTCATGTAGCTTAGATTTTGAATTGCATATTATAGTCATTATTTTATACCCTTATATCAAAATTCTATCAGCGGGGTGATTAAGTGATCAGACTATTGGAAAATGACCTCTATTCCTGGTAATAGTTTTTTACCTCTGGTTACTCAGACCACGGGAATATGGCTGTGGATGCTGGGACAACCAAAAGAGTGAGGGCAGGTATTTATAGAAGCGTATGATGTCCAATCGGGTTTCCTTTGAGGAAGCCATGGTACAGAGTAATGAAATGCATCAGAGGTGGTACCTAGGTGATGTCAGCACGTCCGTCCGGAGAGCTCAGAATCGGTAACTTTTCACGTCTCGTCCTGGATGTCCAGACTTAAAATTACAGCTGCTATTTGAATGATTGAATCTAGTGCACTAGATCTGAGAGTGCACTTTGTGAGTAACATTTTAATCTTTTAATAAAACTGAATAGTTACATCTTACAATATGAGATTTTTCTTTCTTTTAGTATCCCACTGAGTGGAGGAGCTCTGACATTAGGATATGAACAGAGAACACAGTGAGGATCTGCGATAATTTCTATTACTCAATTATCTCAGAAGGCACTTTCTGACTTTCACCAATAGGTGGGTCAAGGTGTGGAGGTAAGAGGCAGTGGATAGAGGTGGTGATGCACTGCGGTGGAGTAATATTGACATGTGTGCGGAGCAAGACACATGTTCACAATTGGAAGGTTGACTCACAACACTATTTAGAAGATATGAATGTGGATTGTTTCTAACACAGATACTGATCACTAT